AAAGGGACTGGAGGTAGTAAAAGACACACTAAATGGGAGTCGTAAAAAATACAAGGGGGTGAAAAGACACCCAAAGGGGGAAAATGGGCAATAATATTCACTAAAGGGGGGTGTAAGATACAAAAGGGGGATATGATACACTAAAGGCAGTAAGACACAAAGGCAAAGATGCATTTGAGGGAGAGGGGGGCAAAATGCATCTTTGCCTGTGTCAATAATAATCCTTGCCCTAGCTCTGACTGTCACAGCTTACCTTAGTTGGAGTCCGAAGTGCAGAGATGTTTGTTCACCCTTGCAGATAAACACAGCCTATGGTAACCATATAAGAAGCTACCTGTGCTGTGAATCTGTGCATGGGGGCTTAGGCAGGACCAGTAACCGGGTACGAGGAAACAGACAAGGGCAAATCCAGAAGAGTAGTCAGACACGGTTCCAAAGGTCAGGGCAGGCAGCGAACAGGCAATAACGAAGATCAAGAAGCAGGGATCACAAGCCAAGTCAGTCTTAAGCAACATGAAACAGGAAACAATGAACTGACCATGTCCTCAGGGAGAAGCAGTATTATATACCTGTAAATAATGATCAATCTGCCTTGGGTGGACTTAGAATGACAGGTAGGAGCCAATGGTGAAGTCCAGCTTTCTATTGCTGCTGGCAATGCCAGGAAAACAAGGTTAGAACCAAAGTTCAGGAGTGGCTCTGAGAACCGGGACACTAACAGTGAGCAAGAAACATATAACTGTTATAAATATCATCTGTGATTTACAGGTGTGTATAATCACCCAGATCCAGGTGCAGATTGTGTGTCACACTTATTCACACATGTGACATGTTATATATTATTACATTGCAATGTTTGTGTCACACTGGGTAGCACTGTGGAATCCAGAAGCACTGTCAAACCACTTCACACAATAATACAGAGCAGTATTATTAATGGTGATTGCTTATAATAAGTTGGGGAGCTTCTCCTGGGACCTGTTTTAATAAATGCACGCAGTCTCCCTCCTTAACTCCAATGTTACAGGTAAAAGTTACACTTTGCCCAACATTCACTGTAGGGTTTGATGGTGTCAGCAATAGTGTCTGCGATTCAGCATCTAGGAGAGTGAAAATACATGTGAGAAACAAACTGAGTAAACATTATAAATGACTAATAAGCAGAACTGCTACATACATGGAATCCAGATCAATGCACAACATATAGACAGTAATGTGTTTATGGTCAGATATAAAATGTCTATTTGTGCCCTGTACATGTGTGTAGGTAGAGGGTAACTGTGTATAGGTATAACCTTTACCATTGATAAACCCAACCACAACAGACTTGCTTTGTAAATAGGCCACAGCTTTATTATAAATATATAAATATTAAAACTTAAACATTTTAACATAAACACTATATATATAGTCAGTAAATAGATACGTTACTGAGTACCACCTTGCCAACCAAACATAACTAAGGGCAGCTACCACTCCTCCCTCGTCCTAACCAGTTCAAGGTCTTTTCTTGGGTCTTTAATTTCGTAATGCTAACCACTAGCCACTTATTGGCTCAGTGGGCACGTCCGTTATCCAAAACTGTACCTGAGGTTAGGGGAGGGACAGCCCTACCCAGGCACTTTCCAAAGACCGGTGGTCCAACCCCTGTTTGACAAGGGCCATATACCACTACACGCCCGCTGGGCGTACACATGCCCACTGGGCAGCCAAGCTGTGACAGACAAAACACACAAACGTGAAACAAATAAGAGGAGGGAGGGTGGAAAGCTGTTACCAACTGATAATTAAGATGGTTGCTATCCTGTAAGATGGCAACCTATTTATACTACCCCGCCCATCTACCACTTTACTACTTCACCCACTGTCCTAAGATCAGTTTGTCACATATCTCTGGATACACTACCCTCACACGTCCCTGTTCTGCCTAGGCCTTGCCTGGCTCATCATGGTCTTGCTGTGATAGAGCTGTATTTATATCTTGAACTTGGAATATTGTGGAGCTATTGATGCAAATTTATCACAGGCAGTTATTAATGTGCCTATCCTTGATCAATATATGTAAAACCAGGTTCAAAAATAATGTCAAAAATAAGTACAGCTCAAAATAAAAATATATAACCAGTGATTTACCTTGAAAAATACTAAATAAAAAAAGAGAATTCCTTAGCATTCTTCACATTATATGGAATACAATATGATTTATATAAGGAAAAGAGTGGACAACAATTTGTGCATGGAGAAGACGTGAAACAAATTAATTAAAACAGATTGTAACACTGCCTAATTGCAATGCTTTATGTTTGGATATAAAACGAATCATTAAACATTTAAGAGATTGTTATTGTTACAGTGAAATAAAAACAGAATTTAGAAATATTACACCAAAGCTGCTGCGGGCTCATTACCAGTGATGTCTGTAATTATTAGCCAAAATCTGTTGTGTTTAGTAACAGTCGATAGATGTTTGTAGCAGCAAAATACTTATCGTCATCACCTGAACGCTAGTGACATCTGCCTCAACTGGTACCAACCACCCCATTGCGTATGCCATTCTGAAAAATATAAAAATTGTAGCTTTTCCAAGTAATAGGCATTGCAATTCTACAGGAACAAAGTATTAGTAAGGCGATCATCTCTCTCTCTTTAGGATGTATGAAGAATTTGTAGTTGTAAATTAGATTTTGTTCCTTATGGCAAACTGAGACTGGTTTTAATTTTGGTGTGATAGCGGCAGTGATAAAATTTAGTAACTGGTATGAAAAGAAGTCAATAACTAGAGCTTATTGTGTTCTATTATTCTGTATTAGAGCTGTTATAATTCTCATCACCAATCATAGAATTTAGTAGTTTGAAAACAACCACTACACACTAATTCTAGTACTAGCCATTGTAGTGAGCAGCAGCTTGTTAGAAAGCTTGCCGACAATAAGAGTGGCTTGGCGAGCGACAGAGATGGCTGCTTAAATGAGCAGTTCTAACCGAGTGAAACCCAAAAAGTCTAAAATTAGTTGCATACATGGATTTATGTGCCCTGTGATGACAGGGGCCAGAGGGGAGGAAATTGTGACTATTGTTGAATACATCACCAGCACTGAGTCTTGCATTTAGGACTTAAATGGCGTTCTTAATCAGATTGATTAAAATTATTAAAAAACTAAATTATATTTGGACATAATGTGGATGGGGGGACACAAAGAAGGGAGATGCAGAGAGAGGTCTCTGAGGAAGTGCCTTGCACAGTACAAAACACATTAGCATCTCCCTTCTATGTGCATCTCCTTCGCGCTCCTCCTGAATGCAGGACCAAGTGCTCGTAAAACTTTGTAAGTCTAGTTAGGGCCGGTGTAAGGATTTCTGTCCCCCTAGGCAAAAGTTTACATTAAATGTTTACATTAAAAGGCCTGCAGGGACTGGCTATAGACCACTTCATTAAGCTGCAGTGGTTCTGGGGACTATAGTGTCCCTTTAATGTGAGGTAAAGTAGAGATTAGTGCCACTAATAATATACTAGAGTGCCTACTTACAATCATTTGAGGATGATGATGGGCTCTGGCTGCAGTCTGGCTCCACTGGTCTGGTGTAGAAGAGGCTCTCTGGAGGCTGTTTGTAACTGTGGTCACAAAAATCAATGTTCTGGGAGCACGAGAAGCAGCTTCATTTTTGGGGCCCTTTACACAGCTCAAGGTCTGGGCCACAGTGCCTGACGGTGAGTATGCCCATAAGACCCCCCCATAAGTCCACCTACATGTTCCACCCATGAGTTAGCTCACAGTGAGTGGAGTGTGTAGGGGATCTAAAGTGTGTGCTTATGGAATGTAGTGTATAGGGATACCAGTTTGTGTAGGTAATGCAGTGTGTGTGTGTGTAGTGGATTCAGTGTGTTTTTGTGTAAGGGATAGAAAGCAGTGTGTTTTTGTTGAGGGATGTATTGTGTGTTTCTGGATGTGTGTAAGGGATGCATTGTGTGAATCTGTGTTTGTATGTGTAAGGGATGCAAGGTGTGTTTCTGTGTATGTAAGGGATGCATCCCTTCTGTCCCTTAGAGCTCTCCCCTGACCCTCAGTGTCTCTCCGCCCCTGTCCCTTAGTGGTCTCTCCTCTCCCCCACCCCATTAGTGGTCTCTCCTCCTCTCCCCCCACCCTTAGTGGTCTCTCCTCCACTCCCTCCCATAAAGGTCTCTTCTCACCCCCCATAGTGTTCTCTCTGTCACCCCTCTACTGCCTTAGTGGACTCTCACACCCCCTACATTCCTTAGTGGTCCTCATCCCCCTCCCATAGTGGTCTCTCCTCGCCCTCCCATAGTGGTCTCTCATCCACCCACCTTCCCTCCCACTTCCCCTCACTGTTGTAAAAAATAAAAAATAAATAAAGCCCCCTTCAATAAAATAATACCAAATGCCCCAGTGATTAAATGGGCATGCGCAGGAATTTCACAGAGCCATCTAGTGTTGGCAGATGACGTGTCCCACAGAGACTTAATCTGCCCACACAAAGATGATGGCGTCCAGGACCTTGGTCCGGGCACCAAATGTAGAAAAAGAAATAGGTAATATGGGAGGCTTAAGGGCATTTGGAGGTGTAGGGGGGACAATTAGATGTAGTGGAGTCAGGAGGGGGGTTAAAAAAATGGATTCGGCCATGACAGTGCCGCTTTAAGTAGAATAAGAGAAGGACATTTCACAAATAATTTGTTTAATAGCAATACTGAGAAGTCGGTACTATTTCCATATGGGAGAGACTGAATGAACCTACCAAGTTTGTTATAATTAGTATGTACACTCATGAAGTTAAAGTCAGGTGCAGTGAGTGTAGGTCACACATGATTGGCTCTTTTCATGCATTTCACAAAGTTATGTTATTATAAAGCAATGTTTTTGTCACACTGTGTAGCACGGTGGAATCCAGTATTACTCCAATACCACTTTACACAGTAATACCGAGCAGTGTCTGCTATCTCTGTCTTTTTGATAATAAACTGATATTCTGTTGCCGCACTGTTAATGGAGGCAGTAAAACGATCTGAAGATATTCCAGGTCCATATCTTGGAGAAGAAAATGAATGGTGATTGTATATAATAAGCTGGGGAGCTTCTCCTGGCAACCTGTTTTAATAAAACAACCTGGTCTCCATCCTTAACTCCAGTGTTACAGGTAAAAGTTACACTTTCCCCAACATTCACTATAGGGTTTGATGGTGTCAGCAATAGTGTCTGAGATTCAGCATCTAGGAGAGTGAAAATACATGTGAGAAACAAACTGAGTAAACATTATAAATGACTAATAAGCAGAACTGATACATACATGGAATCCAGATCAGTGCACAACATATAGACAGTAATGTGTTCATGGTCAGATATAAGGTGTCTATTTGTGCTCTGTACATGCTGTGATAGAGCTGTATATATACCTTGAACTAAAAATACTCTGAAGGTCCTGATGCAAATGTATCACAGGCAGTCGTGTGGTTATGCAAAGTAGGAATCTAAATAATACCAAAATAATTAACCACAACTCAAAATAAGAAAAATATATACAAAAACGTGTTCACAGCTTTCCCAAAACATAAAGCAAGTTTTTTTATTCACTGCACTTTTTTTTTTGCATGTTATATTTGAGATAGCAGGAAATCCCAACTGAAATACCGTATACTCTGTCTCCCTAATACTATGAGAGAGTCAGCCTCTGTATCTTAAATATGTTGTGTCTTTGTCTTTGAGTGGTGGAATGGTGCAAACATTCATCGGCTGTGGCCTAACATGAAATCCAGGTTTTTACCTGTGCCCCACAAGATTTTACCATGGCAGCACCATTTCTCAGCTTTGCCAAGAACAAATTTGCTGGGGTTTTAAAACCACCTATCATCTAACCACCACGGTGTCCCAACTACACCCAATGACACATTACTCATTACACTTTGCATGGACCACGAATCAGTTCTCATGCTCTCTGTCACTAGGTCTATTCCTTTGTCTCCACGTTTTCCTTTTTGCTTTGTTCTTCATTTCCACTGCTCTCTATAGCTCCTTTGCAAGCTCGCTGCCTTTGTTATAAGTTTTTTCACCAGTAATTTTTCATTTCATAACCATTTCATGTCCTTGCACACTCCTTTATTTTTCACAGTTTCCCTAATATCTCTTTAAAATTCTTCACCCAGTGGCATACATACAACCCATGGGGCCCCGGTGCGAAAACTGATCCTTTTTTTTTTTTTAAATCCCCCCAGCCTCCCTACCTTTGGGAGTGCTGAGGGGATTCCCTGGGGTCCAGTGGTGTCACCCGGTGGGCAGGCTGGCTAGCGGGCGCGTGAGGGAGCACTTTTCCCTGTGTGCTCCCTCGTGCGTCGCGTACTGATACCGGAGCCGGAATATGACGTCATCTTCCGGCTCCGGTATCAGTGCGGTGCGCGATGGGGTGGGGAACGCTGCCTAGCAGATCGAAGGTATGAGTCAATCTGTTCCCTTCATAACATTACAGCATTTAGAGTTTAAAATACATCTATCTACCGAACATGAGACATATCTCTATTATCCCTTCTTTTCTTGCCATACTCATTATATATGTTTCTTAGAAAAAGATTATAAACCCCAGATTGTTTTGGGCCCTTACACGAAGGCTAGGAAACAACATAGACGACTACTTGTTAACAATCAAAATATAAATCAAAAGAGAATTTATATTTATGATGTTAGCAGGGGAATTAATTAATAGTTGAATTGTATTATATAAGACAGTAGTTTTATTATTAATGACTATTATTTACAGACTACTTTGGTTTTGGAACAGAATATTTCTAGGGTTTCTAAAAAGTGTAATGTCTATAGTCAATCAGGATATTACGAACTCTAGTCTAGAACCTGTATTTGTTATGAAATTTAATATGGCACAATAATGCAATTATTGATATTTTAGACAAATTGATGCCCATTTTGACTAAGGTAGACTACTGATCTTGTCTGAATCTTGTGTAACCTTTAGAAAAGAAATATATATATATTTATATTTTTTAATGATTTTATGGAGAGATTAGTACTTTTTAATAATAATAGTAATACACTTTTTGAGTCATTTATTACCATTGTGCTACTTTTACTTTTATATTTGCATTTACTTTAAATTATGTTGTTTATGTTCACAGTTTACTTTAACAGCCCCTTCCTGAGCTGATATCCTACTCAAGCTTTTTAGTAACTCAAGTCACTCATTAGATACATTATCATCATATGTGGACCTCTACTTTTGACTCATGGTTTGGGTATTTAAGCTGGCTTCTGGAGGAACACTACGAAGGTCTTATTTAAAACTGTAAGGTTTTTTGTTTTTTTTTATTCTGATTTTAATTGTATTCATACTTTGTGCACTTTATGGAAATTAAAGCACTTTAAACCAATACTGGAATTTGTGGCTACAATCAAAAAGCGGAAGCTGCTTCAGCATACAGAGAAGAGAGTGGGACCCTTAAAATCCCACCAAGCTGATATCTTGAGCCTATTACTTAATGGCTCCCTACTTTTGAGTACCTCCATATACTTTAGCACTCTAATACACATTACAGACAACATTGCGCTATTGTTTGTTTTCTTCTGTTTTAATTTTAGGATTTTATCTCCTAAAGATTTACATGTAAGATACTCCACCTTGTGTGTATTTGCATTTTCTATTGTTGGTGTGGGTTAAGGGGACTCCATTTGGGTGTTAGAGTATAATACATTGCTTGGATACTCACTGGAATTTTGTACCCATACTGTTTCTAGTTATACTGTGCATGTCAGTCTTAAAAAAAGTTAAACCAGGACATAACATGTAGAGACGCTAAGGGCAAGAGCTCTCCTGCACTGTTGCCTAGAGGTTTCCTCACCTTGAGGTTTATCGCCATCAGCTCCTAAGGATTATTAGTATTCATTTCACCACCCCTGGTGAATTTATTTTGGTGCAGGACCTTTTATTAATGCAGGTCTTTGAACAGTTGGGAACTCAATGTTCTGTTTTTCAGTCTTTTTGTGAGATGCTTTTGAGGTTGTTTTTTTTTTCCCAAATAGGAGAATCTATGGATCTTTCCCCAACTGCTAACTAGAATTGCACTGTTGGCTTTGCCAGTCCCCTTCACTCTGAAGATTTGAGACAGCAGTATTTATTTATGTCTGTTCCCTATTTTGCACCTAAGTTTATATTACTTTATTACCTACCTCTGGATTTATGTATATAAAAGATAAATTGCGTTTAATTTTCATCGTAGTATTTTTATTATGAATAATAGATGTTATCCTGGTGTCAAAAAAGGATGTAAAGTGGGAAGTAGCTGGTATTTTGAATGACAACTAATAAGAAGCGCTTATGAATTAAATAGCAGGCATGACATTTATTTATATACATTTTATTTTAATCCTTCAGACTTGCAAAAACATACATTTGAGATAATAAATGAATAGGAACTGTATAATATGCAAACATGTGACAGCTCTGTCTTAAAGTACAAAATAAAGCCCTTGCCATGAACGGGTTAGTGGCACTCAATTATACCTCAATAGATGTATGTATCAGAGTTATTTTATGCAGGTGCGACAATTTGTGTTTGTGTTTGACTGTAGATGGACTTGTATTACACAACAAAAGAAAAGAAAAAGTTACCTGCGCTCTCTCCTTAATCCCTATGTATATTTAGACAAATGGAGGTCATTTAGTTGGTCCAATGGCCATTGGAGGAAATGTCCGCCTGCCAACGTCAAGGCAGACCCCCCTAAGCGGGTCCTAACACTGACCCTTCAGCCTGCTTCCTGGAGCTTCTGGAAAAAATATCTCTATTGAGACAGAGAGGGGTATTTTTTTATATACACCCCTATATACTTATTAACCCTTAAAAGGGAACACATGGGATGGGCGGCAGCATTGTAACAAGGCTGTGTGATACAATATTTGTATTTGTATTACACAACAGCTATAAAAGAATGGAACAAGCAGCCTCTGCTTCTTAGCACGCACACACACACACACACACAAACACACACACACAAAAATTGCAACTATCAATTCGCTGCTGCCACTGGTCCTGCAATCAGGCACACAATATGCACAATGGTATGCACAATGGGTATTATGAATCTGCATTGGGCTGTGTCCCCATGCTGATAGTATATTATTCAAAAGAGAATCAGAAGAAGTAGTTCTAGTGGAAGACAGCAGGCACATATAAAAATGACAAAGACAAGGCTAATGAAAGAAAAAAACAGTAAGAAAAGGTAAGTAATTCTGCGTATAGTAAGGGAACGTGATGGAGTGTGAAAGAAGGCTACATACAAAATGGGGAAGACCAAGTACATTTTGTAAGGAGACATGAAGAGGGAATATGGGCAAGTAGTGTTGGGTTAGGAAGAAGTGGACATTTAGCATTAAAATACAATTTTTGGGCAAATTAAATGGAAGCGAGAGGAAGTGATTAAAAACATGGGCTGGCAGTATATATGACTAAATGGAAGGGACACATAAATCAATGTGCAAGTATAGGGATTTATTCAACAACAGTAAATTTGGTTCAGAGACTGTAATACTGTAAAATTTGGACAGAATAGCTAGATTCCTCTGTCTGTGCTATTTTGACTTTGATTTCACAATTTCTTTGAATTTACTGAAATCCAGTGGAAATGGACAGTACTCACATGCTGATTTGCACAGAAAACAGTATTAAAGCATGGCTCTCAACCTTCCAAAATTCAGAGGCACAGCGATATTTTCACGACACCAGGGAACTGTCCCCGACAATCATAGCACTAGCACATCATAAGACACTCTCATGCTATGTTCAGGACCTGGCAGGAAAAGCTGGGGGGTATAAACCTTTTGGGCACCCTTGGTCTAATGGGTCATCAAGTACTGTAACCACTCCATTATCACTTCATCTAAAGTGGTTATGGTTAAAGTACCTTTGTGTCTTTCCAGCCTTTCATTTTAAAAATGTTACATTCTGGAGATAAAAAAAAAAAAAAAAAAAACTTTTTTTGGTTCTGTAAGGACAGGCTCTCTGGGATCAGTAGTATATGGGGAATATAATTTCAATCAAACTCATCCGGTGCATGGCTGTGTCTCAGAAGAAAATAGAAAGTCGCCGTTAAAACGAACTCATAATAATACTCGAAAATGCAGTTTGAACGAATACAGCTATAAAATATGATTGTTTTGTAGAAATCCCTAAATTTCAATAAAACCATTGAACTCTATAAGAAGATTTGTCCTCAATACACCCTTATTAGAAACATTTGATTAGACAACACCTTACAGTAACAAGGAAGTGCTGGGCAAAAATGGGTAGATCTTCATTAGCTGCAGAGGCCAGTTCTTCAGCAAATGAAAGGCAAGTTTTTACGGCTCAGTAAATATTTGTGCAAATTTTTAATAAAAATTTTTAACATTTTAATTTTTTGCAACATTTAATTATAGGATTTTTAAAAAGTATACATTTTAGAACACAGGGTGTGCCTTTAAGAATAGTATGTGGATTGTTTCATTAAAAAAATGCTTAAAGGACCACTCTAGGCACCCAGACCACTTCAGCTTAATGAAGTGGTCTGGGTGCCAGGTCCTTCTAGGGTTAACCCATTTTTTCATAATTATAGCAGTTTCAGAGAAACTGCTATAATTATGAATGGGTTAAGCCTTCCCCCTAATCCTCTAGTGGCTGTCTCATTGACAGCCACTAGAGGCGCTATGCGTTTCTCACTGTGAAAATCACAGTGAGAGCACGCTAGCGTCCATAGGAAAGCATTGTAAATGCTTTCCTATGAGACCGTTGAATGCGCGCAGCTGTTGCCGCTACAGCGCATTCAGGCCGGGCGCTTAACGGAGGCGAGAGGAGGAGGAGAGCTCCGCCAGCGCTGGAAAAAGGTAAGTTTTTACCCCTTTCCCCTTCCAGAGCCGGGCGGGAGGGGGTCCCTGAGGGTGGGGGCACCCTCAGGGCACTATAGTGCCAGGAAAACGAGTATGTTTTCCTGGCACTATAGTGGTCCTTTAACCCCTTAAGGACACATGACATGTCATGATTCCATTTTATTCCAGAAGTTTGGTCCTTAAGGGGTTAATACATTTGACATCAGAAAATTCTGTATGCATTTTACATCGATGAGACCTCTACGTTTTCACTTAAACATAAACATTATGGAGGATTACAAAGTCAAAGTTTACAATTTTTTGTAACTGTGATTCACCTTTGTTAATGTGTTTTCAATATGCAGTGATAATTGATAGGATATAACAAACCATAGCATTTTCGTACTGTAATTTCCGTTTGTTAAACAAAAATTCTACAATTCAGTCTCAATGCCTACAACATTTTTTTTTGCGAAGCATGTTCAAAATTAGAATAAAAATTTCCTAAAAGCAAGTGAACATTTCCCCAACTTTAAAACCAATTTGCTTATTATATTATAATAACATATAAATGACCATAGATAGAATAAACAAATGATAATAAACTGGGAGCTATAGTCAGCTTTAGCATGGTTTGACAAATAACCTGACATTCATGCCACGTCTGCTCTTCTCCTACAGGAGGAGTTAATTGTGTCTATAGAGCGTAGAAGAACATGATGTATGATCCTTCTTTGCTCTACACAGACACCTGGATTGTCCTCCTGCAGAAGATCAGATGTAGAATGGGTGCCAGGTAAGTTGTCAAGCAGTGCTAAGCAATGCTAAAATAGTTTGACGTCTTATTGTGGAATGGCGCGCTGTCGTGGTTATATTACATGGTGCTTGTAATATTCCTTTAAAGGGACAATACAGTCACCAGAACAACTACATCTTAATGTAGTGTTTCTGGGGGTCTACAGTCCATGCAGTCTTTTCAATGTAAGCACTGCCATTTCAGAGGAAAGGCAGGGTTTACAATGCAGGAGAGTTACATCTTTAGTGGCTGTCAGTCAGACCAGCCACTAGAGCTGCTTCTGGAATGGATATGTTGAGCGTTCCCCATAGAGATGCATTTATTCAATGCATTTCTATGATGAAATGCTGATTGGTGCAGCGCTGTCTTTTGCCAGGCATGTACAATTGCTGCCATAAAGGGAAAGCATTGGATTGGCTGAGATCGTGAAAACTGATTATCTAAGTCATGGAGACAGAGACCGCCGTAACGAGACCAGACGACATTGGAAAAAAGGTGAGTAAAATCACCTTTTCAGGACGATCTAAGGGGTGCCGGGGACCTAAACAGCCACACAGGCACTATAGTGTTAGGAATACGTTTGAAATGTATTTAAAATTGTGCTTTTAAATTTAGTAAAACTAAATCTGCCACACAAATTGTGTAACTGGTAGGAATACAATTACTGCAATTAAAAAACAAAAAAAGAAGAAAAAGAAAAAATGTATATATATATATAAGTGTAAACAAACACACATCAAAAAACTATTACATTTTGGCACATGAATAGTAGATTCCTCTGTACAAACGTAAGTGTGCACAAAAGTACACAAAGGTGCTACAGTAGGATTAAGGAACATTTACCATGTGAACAATTTTTGTCATTTCATAAGTACATGGCTAGCAGCAAGTTTAAAACAACATATTGGCACATGCATTAAATTATCAATGTATCATGACAAAATATTGACCACTCACAAACAGGTATGTAAAAGCAAGTTCTGGAGACTTAACCCCTTAAGGACATATGATGGAAATATCCCGTCATTATTACCTTTTATTCCAGAAGTTGTGTCCTTAAGGGGTTAAGAACAAACTCGCAAAATGCATTTTAAAAGAGCAAATATATATCGTTTTTTTGTTTTTTTTTAATCTGCTTTGTAAATTTTACATTTGCAAGTCAGTTCTAAACTTACCACAACATAGTATTTTATGAATATACTCAATATGTCAAATAACAGCACCCAAAATAAGTAGTGAACATTTGTTTTCAATATGTTATGTTCATTTGCAGTAGTGGTTCGCTTTGTCTTAGTGCATCTTTGCAAGAATTATCACACGGGAATAAATAAAACAAAGGTTAAAATTGATACTCTACGAATCAAAACCACTAAGAACACTGTAGTGGTTATGGTGCCAGGAGTCCCCTGAACAAGACCAGGATACGCTTTCAATCTATTTACAAATAGTTTGACAGTTAGCTGGCTCTGTTGAGTCCCTTCCATCTGCACAGTTCTTAAAAAATGTCCAAAGTTGTTCCACAGTGAAATGCTAATGCAGAGAAATGAACTTCAGTGCAGACAGGTAAAACTGCAAGCTCCTGAAAGAGCAAGGTAAATGTCGAATCATTTGAAAATGGCTTGACACCTCTACCTGGCACAGTGACGGAGGAATATGGACACCATAACCACCACAGTGCACTGTTATGGTGCTTAAATAGACTTAGACTCTTGCAATGGTCTACTGAAATGTGAAACCAGTACTCTGATTTATAAAGGATATGTGTGTCTTAGATATGATTTAACAATACTGTTCAATTTTCTAATTTTTTTTACACAGATCAATAAAAAAATTTAACCTTAGAAGTAAAGGCCAAAAAATGTGATAAGCGATTTGATAAAAAAAAAAAAAAAATCAGCCCTCATTTATTGCAGTCTCTTCCGAAACATGGGTCCTAAGATGTTCTAAAAGAATTGAGCCATCATTGAAGCTTTCTCCACAGCTTGCACAAGTATATGGTTTCTCTTCATTGTGAACTCGAGTATGTCTTACAAGGCTTGACTTGTCTTTAAATTTCTTTCCACATTCAATACAAGTATATGGTCTTTCTTCTGTATGCACTTTCTGGTGCCTAACAAGAGCTGAGCTACCAGTAAAACCTTTTCCACACTCAATGCAGATGTAGGGCCTCTCTTCAGTATGAGTTTTCTGGTGTTTGACGAGAAGAGAGTTATGGCTAAAACCTTTCCCACAGAATGTACATGTAAATGGTTTCTCCACCGTGTGAACTCGCCAGTGCACTACAAGACTTGAGCTCTGAGTAAACCTTTTTCCACATTCAGAACAGCTATAAGGCCTCTCCCCGGTGTGGACTCTCTGATGAGTAACTAGATTTGAGCTGCTGCTAAAACACTTACCACATATTTCACAAGCATAGGGTTTTTCATTGGTGTGGACCCGAAGATGTGTACGGAGCTGTGAGCTGCATGTGAAGCTTTTGCCACATCCAGGGCAATGCCAAGCTTTCTCCCCAGCATGGACTTTCTTGTGCTTCACCAGATTTGAGCTCCCACTGAAGCATTTTCCGCATTCATTACAAGAATAAGGTTTTTCGCCAGTGTGTATTCTCTGGTGTGTTACAAGATGTGAGTTCTGGCTAAAACTTTTCCCACAATCTGTACACATAAAAGGTTTTACGTCAGAGTGGACTCTAAGGTGTCGAGCTAAACTAGAGCTTTGAGTAAACTTTTTTGCACATATAGTGCAAGCGTATGGTCTTTCCCCCGTGTGCGTCCTCTGATGAACAGTAAAATCAGGTTTCCGATAAAACATCTTACCACATACCATGCACATATACTTAGCAAGAAGTTTCTTACAAATGTCAGCATCTTTTGCATCATCTGAAAAGCAAGTTCCCTCCTCATCAAAAACATTTTGTGTTTCAATTTCATCATCAATATTGTCACTGGATATTGGAGGATTTTTTTCGTCCTGGGTGCTTGACTCCTCAGGTGGATCGAATTCCTCGGCTGAGTCTACAGATGAACATGCCTGTTCGTTGCTGTCTTCTGATGGGCTAATAGAATTGGCATCCTCTCTATGGTTTACTTCCATTTCTAAGCTGGAAAGATCAGGTAAGATGTCTTCCCTCCTTATTCAGAAATCTGGAGTAAAGAAACAAACAGTTAATAAAGATGTATAGACTTATCAACTACTATTATTATTACCACTACCACTACCACCACTAAAGCAGTCTTGTGATTTTATTTTTTTTACATTTTGGTTTTCCTTTCCTTACGCCAGGCAGACCAAATGCACATGCGCGGCAATGGCCACGTGCTCGCATTAGACCTCCGCACAGATAACGGGACAAAAGTTCGTTACGATTCTGGAAGCGCCCCCAGTGGCTGTCTGGCAGGTGGAGGCACTAAATGACAATGGGTGGGGGGACCTATTATCCTCGCCCTGACCTCCACCCGAGCGGCAGGTGGGGTCGCTAAGTGTAAATGGGGGGGGACCTATTGTCCCCTCCCCCGGCCCCAACCCCTGAGCGGTGGGTGGGGCCCTAAATGTAAAAGGGGGAGGACCTATTGTTCTCCTCATCCGGCCTTCACCCATGAGCGGTGGGTGGGGGCCCTAAATGAAAATGGGGGGGACCTATTGTCCTCCCCCCTGCCTCCGCACATGGGTGACGGGTGGGGGCTAAATGTAAAAAAAAAAAAACCTCCGCCCAGGTGACCAGGGGTCCCCAAGCCCCTAGTCACACCCACACCCCCCAAAAAATAACCCCCCCATTTTCAGTTAGGGCCCCCCATCCGCCACTTATGGGTGGAGGCCGGGGGGAGGACAATAGGTGTCCACTCCATTGTCAATTAGGGTCCCCACATGCCGCTCAGGGGTGGGGGCCGAGGCAGGAGGACAATAGCCCATCCCCCATTTTCAATTAGGGCCCCCACCCACTGCTCGTGGACCCTATGTCCCCTGTTTACTTGCATAGACCCCACGCTACTTGTGGGGCTACTTGTTGGAAGGGGGTTTTTTGGGGGTTTTTTTACAACAGTGTGCAGCCACAGGAGATTTTAATATGCTATTATGGGGTCATATTGACCCCCATAGAGTGAGGGAGGACATGGGGGCTTAGGAAGTGGTGGGGAGCACTGCTAACTGCCGCTTCTATCTTTACATTTTACAAGGAGGGAGCTGCATGGCCGCTGGCTCCCTCCTTGTAATAAACGAGAAAATGAACACCTATATTCAGTGTTTGTTTGTTTGTTCATCTGAAATTTCTATTCATTCATTCGTCTTTCTGACGAATTAATAGACAAAATTCCTGTAGCAAATGCCCAAGTGTTTAACTGGGCATGTGCAGGAATTTCACAGTGCTATCTAGTGTGGGCAGATGACATGTCACACAGGGACTTCATCTACCCACACAAAGATGGCAGTGCCCAGGACCTAGGTCTGGGCAGAAAATAAAGATACAAAATAGTTAATATGGGGGGCTTAGAGGCATTTGGGAGTGTTTATGGGGACAATTAGATGTAGTGGAGTCGGGAGGGGAGTTAAAAAAAAGAAACTGGATTCGGCCATGACAGTGGCGCTTTAACATTGCAGCACGAGGTGCAAAAGGGTCACAGCACCCAAACCACTTCAATCAGCTGAAATGATCTGGGTGCCTACAGTGTCCCTTTAATGTAACTAGCTCAAAACAGAGAGTTTCCAAGCTGCGGAGGAGGAGATGATCCAGATAAGTTGTCAAATATTTTTTTAATTTGCATACTTATACTGGGAGGGCTCCAGCGCTGTAGTACTGGAGTGTTTCTTTAACGCCAAGAACAGGGTTTTCAATCTAAAAAGAACAAGGTGTTTACATAGCTATCCATTTCATTGTTTTTGCATACTATGCTTGGTCATATATTTTCTTGTTTGTTTTATCCCATACAAAACATGAGGAAAAAAATAAATAAATAAAAAAATAAATAAAAAAAAAATTAAATATATATATATATATATATATATATATATATATATATTTATTTTTTTTGGGGGGGGGTTTTTGTGTCCTGTTTTTCTCTTTTATGAACTCCACAACACGACTGAGATAATGTTTCCAACTGAATTATTTTTGCCTAAAATATGTAATTCCCTAGTGAATTCATGTCAATTTACATTCTTTGATAATGCAGTATATCATGCATTCAAATGCACCTTAAATTACTATGTTCTATATTACTATGAGATCAATGGCAATGCCATCTGTTTTAATGGAAATATCTTTCATTTTCCTATAATCACCATTTGGCAACCAAGGACCCTATGCAGCATGGAATGGCCTTACTTTTAGCTAAACTAGGCCCATGAAGCCACGCACTTGGCAATAAAGCTGGTCTTTTCATTTTAGACCATGATACTTTAAGATTCAATTGCTATGACCACATTTTCCATCACTTATGCCAAAAAAGTTAAGACGTGAAGAGATGGCAAACTGCAGAGGACACAATTCCCGGAATTTCCTGTCCAAGCATTTGCAGCTAGGTCAAGGAGAATGGTCTTCTCTTACTACAGATACTGCGAAGCACCCATGAAGAGACTAGTTACATTTATAAGGCATTTCATTATATTTATGCACTGTACAAATTGCCAAATGTTTAAATGCCAAGGTCACCCCTGCAAAATGCAAAGTAGGGATTACTTTGTCTCAGTATTTTTCCAATGCCTGACACTGGCAAGAGCTACCTCCATCAAGCCTTGTTGTTGTGGAAATAAGGTCTGCACATATTTCCTAGTTAGTAAAAATGTCTATTTACTCATTCCACGATATACCATATAAAGCTATACACACACATGTTTTAATCAAGATGGCTGCTAGAAGCTTCTAACCCCTCCTCCCCTCCCCTTTAACACCGACTAACTACCTCGTGCAGCAAGATGGCGCCGGGAAACCGTGGGAGACCCTCATGGTCCTGGTGACATCAGCCTTAGTAGGCAGAGCATTAGGAAGACCACTTAACACCTAACCAATTATTGATGTATTATTCCATGTTATCTCTGACAATGCTTATGATGTAATTCTGCTTTAAAAGGGACCTGCAGTCCCCTCTGAATAAACATTCCTCAAGTTATTCAACAACCTGGAACCTGTGTCTGGTGTGAATTACTTCAGGGAGCGTGCACGCATTGTTTCATTGATTTGGCCAGGGGCAGATACACAAAGAAATAATCAATACTTTGATTGATTTTTTCCATTTCACTTGTCAATCTCGCAGCAGTCACCAGTGACCACTGCAGGAATATTAACACTATCAATGGAGGATCCTGCATAGACCACACTGTTGTATTCTCGTGCATGGGCGAGAGTACAGCAGTAATGTCTGCTCCTGGCAGCTGTGGTGACAGGAGTAATAGACGACTGACAGGAAGATGATGACGGCTTCCGCAGGGGGCAGGTTCAGGTAAGTAAAGCTCATCATTGCGACCACCCCCTCCCCCAGCCACCAGACCCCAGCAGCAATGTCACCATTGTTGGTTTCTAAATTATGCAGTGACCCATTGTAAAGCGCTGCGGAATTTGACGGCGCTCTATAAATATAATAATAATAATAATAATAATAACAGTTCCACTTTAAAAGGAGATGGGATTTGTAAAGTGAACATGCTAACTTTACCAGCCAATTACATTTGGCAAGGTAAATTATTGCTGCCAAAGTAAAATGCTAAAATAATTGGTAAACATCGTATAAGTTTGGTGGTGAATTTCTGCAGCCAAGGATCATACAGTACAGTCAAGACAGATATACTGTAACCAGTACCAACAGTTATATTTTTTCACAGTACACAATGTATCAACATTTACCTAGTGTTGCCATATTGTTTTCATGATCATTCCCATCATGTGCCCATAATAATGCACACTAGTTGGTGCAAAACCTGCAATAAATAGAATATACTTTTGTCACCAAAGCCATCAAACCTTTAGTATTTTGACTGTGTCTCCATCCCACAGGCAACATGTATTATGAGGTTAAAGATGAGTCTATAATTGACTTATGTATGCATGAGCCTTGCCTGACATTCTGATTCACTGAATGCAACTTGTTAGATCAATTCTAATCGCATAGTAAGAATGTCAGAACTCTTTAATCCCCCCTGGATCTGCAGACACCTCAATACTGCCTGCTATCTGCATATTGATAAACTCAAACTACTACAGTGTAATTTACACGGAAAATTCTTATAACAGGACTTTAACTGGCAACATATTTCATATACTGCTTTTTTCCCCCAATTTTCATTTATTTATTTATTTGCATGAGCTAAATGTGAAAATGGAATTCTGACTACAAAAAGCAGCTTTGAAGCAAAACAACCCTATAGTGGCAGCTAACACTACACAAGGCACCCCCTAATAGAAAACAGTGATAAATGGGTGAGTGCTATTGCCCACTCCACAGCATTGCAAACACAGACTCTATCAGACAGACTATAAGTGGTGATGGTAACTAAAACGAGTATCACTCACAATATTATACCTGATGGAAAATAAAGGGGTTGACATTATTATTAATAATTATTTATTTATTTATTTTTACCTTGACTGCCGAAGAAAACCTTTTGAAAACGGATATATGAGGGCGATCTTATCGGCCAAGCGGGTGCAAATCGTTGTGGGAATTGTAGTTCGTTCGCGTCGGCTCACTATGACTCCTGAACGGGTTCAAAACTACAAATCCCAGAATGCTCCGCTTTCTTTAAAGGAAATTGCCTATGAACTCGTCAGCTACTCTGTATTTAATGGTTATCTCACATGCATGATAAGTGCATATTGGGTTGGGATTCTTTATCTAAATTAATTCAGTGACTTCCAAAGTGCAGCTGCGGTTTACTTGTATTTATTTGATCACACAGGGGCTGGGGGGGCGGGATGAGTTTGCAAAGTTCCATGTTGCAAAGTTCTTAGAACTTTTACTTGGAAGTCTAATGCAGATATTTGTTGTTTTAGTGGAGTTTTTCTATAATGCAATTTTCACATCTCTCTTCTATATGCTTTAACAAGTATAGAACGTTCCAGCTCACAAGGACACAAATACTGTGATACTGAGAATAAAAGCACTGAGTGGAACATATCAAATTTAACCCCGCATGCAGAGTGCTCTTTTTTTTTTCCGGAAAGTGTAGATTTCAAAACTATAATCAGTTTAAATTAAAGTGACATTATAGTTACAGCTTAATGTAGTGGTTATGGTGTCTATAGCCTTTCCCTGCAGGATATTTTATGTAAAGATTGCCTTTTCAGGGAGTAACACCTCTAGTGGCAGTCGCTGAGACTGCCACCTGAGGTGCTTCCTATCTCGACGTGGGAAAAAAGGTATATATATATAAATATATATATATATATATATATATATATATATATATATATATAAATATATATATATATAAATATATATCATTATTTTGCAGAATGCTACAAAAAAGGTTCCTTGTTGCTGGTGTTGTTCGGATATATTTAACTACTACATATCAATTAGACTTGTGGATTTGTATTCGGATGAATCAGACAAAATTTGGTTGATAACAAAAATATGAATCACCAAATATCCGAATCAAATGAAGAGGACAAAATTCTTCAGTACGATTAGTTCACTTGGACGCGCTCTCAACTCTTGCATCACAGAACGGTAAAGGTAGGGGGAGTGATCTGATTTTAATTGGGAAATCAATTCACTCCAGTACCATGATGTACAAGCGGCTCGGTCAGTGGCACTCTGCCTGCAAGATAGAAGATTATTACACCCGTTGCCAGTGTGCATGCTGACAAAAGACGTAAAATATACAAAGAATTTACACTAGACAGCACCAGAACTGATGCCCAACTCACATGTGCCAAGGGTGTAACTAGCCCCTGACACACGTGCAAAAAAACTCTGAATGCGTCTTCTATCACCATGACTACTTCAAATTACTGCAGTGGTCATGGTGGTTGGAGTAACCCTTTCAGTGATAGTGAAAACGTGGTGCGCTTTTTATGCAATAGTGAAAGAATAAAAGCACATTTTATGTCAGTAGGTATATACTTATACCAATGGAGTGTGTACCTTTACTACCATCATGGAATTTACATGTAAGAGGGAAAAAAACAGTAGATATATAGTGTGATACAGTTTTTTTTTTTTTTTTTTGTATGACATAAAGAAAATAGTTAAGCTACTAACTCTCCATTTTATATTTAGCATCCATTTTGTATAAAACTTAAATGTTTGATGTGGAAAATTACCAGAAGTGTTTTTGAAGCATTTGTTTGTCACAAATGCTCTCTGTGGGAGGCCAATAAAGTCAAAAGACACTTAGACTGTGCCTGCCCAGCCAGAGCCATACTACCACTAAAGATAAGGTGTTAGCTTGATGTTCAGTGCTCCACCATCCGCCTATTGACAAACAGAAAATGTAACAAACAATGACTTGCTTTTTGTTGAAAAGGTATAAAATATTATGTAAAGTTTGAATAAATAAGCATCCTACCACTGTGTTGGTGCATGCCATTTTCTTCCAGGTTAACCAAATGCTTGCATGTTCCTCTGTGTTCCCTCAAAAGGTCAAGGTATGCTGGCTAGCAATACATCAATAGGCCACCTGAAGAGACCCCCAATAACAGTTGGACATCAGAAGGTGGGATTAATACTTAATACGTGAGTATGAGAATACCCTTTGTGTGGTCTGTACTGTTTTTCTCTTTATCTGAGAAGTGGAGTTTGCACTGTGGTTAACTTGTAGCCATTAGTAAAGTTGCTATACTCCCTCTATTTTGGCTCTTTTGAGGTAAAGGTCCCCACTGATATAACGTATTATGGTGAGAATCCCCTACTGAGAACACCGCATGTGGTTAGATTTCTCATGATTAGGGGTTAAAGTCCCCTGTGTACCACAGCTGCAACCGGGCCCGTCACTCTAGGGGGCCTGGCGACCGCGGTGCCCGCCAAGATTGTGGTGCGGCCCTGGCCACGCGGAACTTAAAGGGGCCCATTGGGTGGCCCATGCACTTTGGGGCGGTTGGAGAAGGACGAGGAGGAGAGGATGGAGTCAGAGTGGGAGCTCTGACTCCCATCAGCCGAAGGCAGCCACTGCACCCCAGAGAAGTCACAGTCCAGCAAAGGTGGGAATCAGGAGGGTGACTAAAATTTTCAACAGTTTGTGTGTGAATGTGTGTCTGTATGTGTGTGTGTGAATGTCTGTATCTGTGTGTCGGTGTGTGTGTATGTGAATGTCTGTATCTGTGTGTGTGTTAATGAGTGAATGTGTGTCTGTATGTGTATCTTTGTCTGTATCTGTCTGCATGTGGGTCTGTATGTGTTTCTGTTTGTATGTATGGGTATCTGTATGTTTGTATGTGTATCTGTTTGCATGTGTGTCCATGTGTGCCCCTATGTATCTGTATGTGTGTCACAGTTTATATCTGTATGTGTGTTATTCTGTGTATCCGCATGTGTGTCTGTGTGTTCTGTATGTCTGTATGTGTTTCTGTTTGTCTGCATGTGTGTCTGTATATGTATCTATGTCTGCATGTGTGTCTATATGTGTATCTGTTTGTCTGTATGCATGTCATTCTGTGTGGCTGTGTATTAGCATGTGTGTCCGTGTATGTATCTGTATGTGTTATATTACACAAATGTGGGGTGGGAGGGGGGAGGACCCAGGGCAATTTTTGCACCGGAGCCCTGTAGTTTCTAGTCACGCCTCTGCTGTGTACGGTAGGTTAAAGTCTGCCGGATAATGAGATCTGTTTGAGAATATAGCAGAATCTAAAAGACAGCATTAAAAGTGCATTATAAATAATTTGGATTTATAATTAAAACCTATAACCTAATGAAAATTTACTTTCAAGGAATAAGACAAGGAAAAACAGGGACTAACGTTATCTTTGCTTCACAGGAAGATAAGTATAAATATTTCATCTGCAGCAGATACAGTCTATCAAAGTAAGCTAATGTTACTTTCACTTAAAAATAATAAAAATAGCGGTGCTTTTTCTCACTTCAATTTTACTCACTTTCATTTTACAGGATATTCTGTTTTCAATTGTATTTATGTCAATAACGACAATTTTCTGTAGTTTGATTTTGTAATTTTCATATGTTTTTTAAAAATGGGCAATAAAAAGTAAATAAATAGCAATGAAGATAGTTCAGATCTGCTAGCTAAATTTAAAACGGGATATCTACAGCATGGTACGAGTAACTAAGCCTTCTCCTGAAATAATTACATGGCATCAGTGTAATTCTTGAGTTTCTTGAAAGATGTGAAAAGGAGTAGGTAAGGTTAGTTCTGTGTGACCTGATTCTCTATATTTGTTTATCGACTTAAATATTGTGCTGTAGAAATTGATATTGTAATTTAGAATTAGATATACAGGCAGACAGGAAAAAAAAAACTCTCAAGAGAGAGTAAAGGGAAAATTCCCAGTAACAGGGCCTAACCCTAAACTTACATAAAAAAATTGAAAACAGAAAAATAAATCCCTGATAAAGGCGAACCAAAACAGAGTTAATGAAGCAAGTTGTAGTTTACGAATAAAAATTTGAAATGGAAATATACCTTACAACTATTATTAGATAATGCTTATCATGAGAAAATTCCTTTCTTTAATGCTCTTTGATGTCATGTAATGGGAACATTTATTAAAATGATGAGTGGGTATCTTGTGTAGAAGTAAAGTGGCTGTGTGAAGTACAGTTGTAGCTATGTGTAAAGTGTGCGCTTTTTGTGATTGATGTATAAGGCTGGCTGTGGATGGTGTGTGTGGCTGCATGTGGGTAACTGTGAGTGGTATGTGTAGTAGTGTGAGTAGATGTGAGTGATAATTTTGGGCCACTGTAAGTGTTGTCTGTGATGTGTGGGAAATGCATGTGGGAAGTAGTAAAATTTCCATTTAGCACAAGGTGGTATGGGAGATTCAAGTTAGCTGTCCCTCAGCCCATTATATATGGGGTGGGGGGGGTCAACAGTCAGGGATAGGGCTGGTGGCTGTAGTGGATGTTTGGAATAGTAGTGAGTGTTGGGTGCATGTATCAGAGCATTGCCATGGTAACCCATGGCAATGTTCCTATACAATAGGAGGAGCAGACCAGACCAGGTTCTCCCTCAGCATCAGGGACGGCCTGTGACCATGTCCATTGCTTAGTCTCGATGTGGGTGGCCCAGCTCCAGTCAGGGAGACATTTTGATCTACCTGCCGGCCCATTAATAACTGGGCAATCCGGCTGCAGCACACCCTAGTCCATGCATACGACCGTGCTGCCGCGGCCCCCCACCAGTGGGCTGGCACCACAGGCCACTGCCTAAGTGGCCTAATGGAAGCCCTGGTTACAGGATGTGTTTTGGATTAGTTGGCGATTGATTATTTTTGAAGTCTGTTTAAAAGCCTCCAGAGAATCTGCCTTGTTTTTTGTATAGAGAATAATTTTGTATGAACTTGTACTGTATGGCCTAGTTTCTCAACCCGTGGTATGTATACCCCAAGCACCAAAGGCAAGAGGTATGCCAAGAGGTGGTCGGCTGGCCACCCTAGCACCCTTCGAGAGGCGGCCAGCTGGGGGAGAATTGCGATTAAGCCTTCTTTTGTGGGTGTGGGTTATTCTATTCC